TTTACAAATTCAAAATTACAATGTTTGTCTTTTGAAATTTCTGTGGCAATGAATTGAACGTAATACCTGCATAATGGAACCTTGCAATCAGTAGAATCCTGAGCCATGAAGATTGCTGAATGAAGCTTCATGAGTTGCAAAATTTAACGAAAGCGAGAGCAAGTGCTACGTTCGCCGTTACATTTTGAGAAGTGGTATAGGAGGAGGTGAAGTGGTTGGCAGGTGGCGGTGGATGGGCAGCAGCTTTTCCGACAACCATCGAGCTTAATGTCTGTGCAACCTTCTCTGAAGATGTGCTGAAGACATATGCTTGCCTCGTAAGCTGTTGGTATGTTTTCTGATCTTCCTTATTTCTTCTAAGTTGGTTCTCACTCTGCAGTAAATTAAAAATAATAATTTTAGTTTATGTTTTTTATTAATCGTCAAATATAATTTGTATTAAAAGGTAGCATGTTTGTTTGATCTCATGGTAGTTAGAAAATACATTTTTCTTAAAAAAATTACTTTATTAAATTCCATTTTTTTGATTTGATGTAGTTATAAATTAATATGAATTTTAAATTCTAAAATATCTTCAACTTTCTTCATGTTATAAAAGATCTTTTTCATGAAATTCTTATATATTTTTTTGTCAATGAAATCCTTTTGCACAAAATTCTTAGATATTTATATGTTTTATACTTAAATTATAATCTTTTTTCATACAACATCAGTTTTTAAACAACATCAAAACATGGGAATTACTTTCATGTCATATATGTTAAAATGATATATTTTTTTTATATATAATTTAAAGATTATTTTGTTATATAAATATAAAAATAAATAAATAGATTCAATCAATAAGATTTATAAATATATAATAATTATGCGATAAGCTGGTAATCTAATGATCATAAAAATGAGATTTTTTTTTAAGCATGGACACTTGGCCCCTACTAATTATTACATCTACTTATTGGGGTTTACATATGTATCAAGTAGCTTTCCAATTTATTTTCTTAATTATTGCTCCATTATTTTGTATAGTACACAAATTCTTTGATATTTTAAAAGGAAGAGAAAAATACTTCACATTTCACTACAAAAAATTTAATTTAATCTTATCAACAGTAATAAACTAATGTATGTTGAAAAATAATTTGATGTTCAAAAAGTTGCGGTAACAATTACAACTTTTTTGTTTTGAAAAAGTCTGACCGTGGTTAGAAACCTGTCACTGCGCATAGCTAGGGCAGGTGCGAAAATGCAGATTTCTGTCGCAACTTTTTTGAAAAATCAATTAAAATACAGTTTATCCAAACAAAATAAAATTGTAGTGCCGCACTGCCGCCTCAAACGAACCCCTTAGTCGCATATATAAAAAAAGAATTAATTAATTTGTAGGATAAACTAATTTTAATTTAAAATTCTACTTTTTCACTAGTTTCTACAATGTATAATATATTTTTTAAAAGTGAGTAATAAATATGAATGGTTTATTTTTAAAATTAAACTCTAGCCTTTTAGCTAACATAAACTTAATCATAATTAGCCAAATCAACTCACAAGATGACCCGGCTCGGTTGGATAAATAGTTTGTGAGCTGAGCTTGATGGGTTAACAAGTCAAATTCAAATTAGCCCAAGCTTGGCATGTTAGCTCACTAGCCAATTCATTTGAAAACCAATTAATATAAAAATATTTTAAATACACTAAATTCATAACTCTTTTTATATTTTAAAATTAATATTTTATATTTTATACATGTGATTTCTTTTTATTTATCTTTTAGTTGGTCTTTGTATTTTTTATTTTGTTATAACACTAAGATTAATTAATATTATTTTCTTTTTTTCATCATAAATAATTCAGATTTTCAAATCCTTGAAACTAACCTCGAGTCAAAGCTCAAACTTGATTAATAAACCAAGTTCAAGCTCAAGCCAAGATTTGGGGCATGACTTGAGTTGTGTGTGTATATGTATGTGTGTGAAAATTTCCCCAACCAAATAGATCTGATCTGAATACGACCCAACTATTATATGGGTCGAAAATCACAACTTGAAACCAACCCTTATAACCCGTTTACCCTTATAACCCGTTTAACATGAGGAGTAATCGTTATTTGAGCTAAATTGAATCAATATGGGGGCCAATTTCAAATCAAATTTGGGCTAATTCCAAGTTAACAGATTGATTTCAGCGTCTGCCACTGCCCCGCTGGACAACGTCTGCTTCCACTATCATCATCCACTATCATCATCAACGGCTATGATCATCTACCGTCGCTTGTCATAGCCTGCAATTGCCAGTCGCCACTATCTTCCACCGCCCATCCTCGCTCGCAGACCACCGCCACCGCCTATGGTGCTCGCCGTAGCCGGTCATGCAAACCAACTAAAATGCAAAATCTCCGTACATTTCTAACCATACATTTAATCATGATTAATTAAAGATTTAATGCATGTAAACCCTCAAGTTTTTTCTATCCACGCAAATTTGGCCTTACGCGTAGTACCCGAATCTCTAATTATTTCTAACAGCGCACTTAATTTTGATTATAATTTATAATCAAATATTAAATAGAAATAAAATAAATTTCTCTCTTAAATCACATGCTTAAAGATATCTGTCGTCAGTTTAGCAAAACTCCTGTCTTCATCCCCACATAACACAATTATGTCACATGTCATTGGCCAGCATGTTCTTCAGTCATTCAAGTTACTGTATAATCAAACACAGCTGGGGGAAGATAATTTGATTATTTATTTAATTTCTAAGAGGGCTAATGGGACCTATTAATAGATCAATTCTGATCAAGTTCATTGTACAAGAAACATTCTTAGATATTTTGAAGGGGAGAAAAATGTCTTCAATTTTAGAGAAATTGTGATATCAACACTTGTATATTTTCTATTTACAAAATTAGTATTCTCTTTTTAAAATTCTCATTTAAAATTAAAATTTATAATAAAATTTCAACACATTTTTCATTTTTAATCAAATTCTCCTTATTTATTGTGATATGCATAAATACAGCGATTTGACAGCTAAAAGAATGACTTGAGGTTGATTTTATAATTAGGTTTTGAGTGCAATACATATAATTATCCTAAAATTATAATTTAGTTTACGAGTCAGTATAATAATTTAATAAATGGATTTTCTGATAGGAATACCAAACAATTCAAAATCTTATCGGGGATTAGGATCAATTAGAAACTAAATCACACCAAGGAATAATAGGATCTCACAAGATTCAAGAAAAACCAAAACAAAATTATAAAAAGAAGCATAATCAAAGAAACTAAAAAATACACAAGAATTTTACTTGGAAAAACCCAAGAAAGGGAAAAAAAATCACAAAGTCACACCACCAGAAAATTTCACTAAAAAACATAAAATTTTTACAGAGAACTCATATCACCTCTATACACACAAGAAAACTTATAAGACGCGCTTCACAATATTCTTTCTTCGATCCAATGTAAAAAATATATGTCGAATCCCAAAAATTTTTCTCTCCACTCCTCTCTCCTTCACCAGAAATTTGTTGAAGAACATCAAAAGAAGACATTCTATTTACACCACTCAAATTTTGCCTTAAACCAAAGCAGTGCATGCCAACTGTTCCTGACGCTTATGCGCTCGGACTTTGCACATAGACGCCAATGCCCCTGTCGAGCGCGGGTGTAGTGGGTGCATAAGCACCCAATAGACGCCAACTATAAGTGGGCATAGGTGTCAGCCTTACTGTGAGCATGCCCAGAAGTGGGCGCTTATGGGATAGGTTTTTTGTCTGCTGCTCACCAACTCTAGTCTCTACACATAACAATCTCTCACTTCCTCCAGTCTCCACACATAACAATCGCTCACTTCGATACAAATTGCACCCATGACCAATATTCTGTACCTAAACCTCCATCAGAATCACCTTCATACTCCATCAGAATCACCTTCATAGTCTCGTATCGTGGTCACGTACAATGGTGTGGCTCACTTCCTGTCTTAACCTTCATGAAACCCAACTGAAACCAAGCATAGTTTCCTTCATCAGTTTATTTGTTGGATTATGAGTTGTGTGTATTTTCTTCATGAACAACTACTCATCTTCAATGAGAGAGCGAATGACATAATACCTCAACTGAATGTGTTTCATCCCAACACGAAAAATAATGTTCTTAGCAAGATGAATCACACTCATACTATCATTGTATAGTTTTATAATCCCCTACTCTTAGCTCAATTCTGCCATGAAACTTGTAGGCAAATCATCTCCTTGCTACATCAAACCAAATATGTCATTGATTCGTTAACTGAAACAAATATGATAAATTCCAAACTGGTTTTAACTCCCCTTCCAACCAATCCACACAAAATTACCAATAAAAACACACCAATGCCAGAGCCCGAAAAAGTAACTTGACCTGATATAACTTTCACCATCAATTTCCTTAAGCCAGTATATGCACAATCCCATCAATATGGAATATCAAATGTTAAAAAGATTACTAAGATACTTGAAAGGAACTTTAAATAATGGCTTACCCACAACTGTTGGAAAATTGAAATTACATGCATATGCGGTTGCAGATTGGACAACTGATATTAATGACAGGAAATTTATTACTGATATTTGTATCTGTTTTGGTTGCAATTTGATCTCTTGGTTCTCCAAGAAACAACTCATGGTTGCTCGCTCATCAATAGGACTTGAGTATCTAGCTTTAGCGACTGCCACCATCAGAATCACATGAATTTGTAGGATATTTCAAGATCTATGTAATAACTTTAGGTAATTAAAATATTTTACAGCAAGTTACTTTTCCCACTCTCTGTTAATCTTTTCTATGGAGATTTATCACTAATTAGTGAGCTTGAAGTATAATTAGTTTAGTTTTGGGTAATTTTTACATTTTGAGTTATATAAGGAGAGAACTAAGTTCGTAACTTTTTGTTGTCAACAGCAAATGTCACAATATTTTCAATGTAGCGCTACATAATTGATGCGCTTTAGCAAGGCCAAAAAGTCGATCAAATTTTAACAACTTATACATGCTCTAAAACACAAATTACACCATATTATTTAGAGAAAGACAACATCATCAAACCCAAAAAAAAAAAAAAAAAAAGGGAAAACTTTCCCTTAACTCCATACATCTCCTCACATACATTCTCTACCCTCTCCTTACAAATTCTATCTTAATTTTTCATCATTTCTATGGTAATACTTTCTGAGCATATCATCCTACGGCCAACCCTGATTCAGATTCCTGCATATTCCTCTTTGCAAAACTTGAAAATGCCATAACTGATGCCACCTTCTTCCCCAACGTCATCCACTTTCTTTCGTTTAACTTCCCCTCTAGCTTTTGCATTCTGTACTCAAATTCACTGTCATTTTCCAAACCAAAATTTTGTATTAATACTAGAAAACAAAAGCAATACAAATACAAAAAAATTATTATACAAGTTCACTAAATTGATGACCTATAAGAAAAAAATTAAGAAAATTACAATGGTTGTCTCTTGAAATTTCTGGGGCAATGAACTTTAAATAATACCTGTGCAATGGAATCCTGCAGTTAGTGAAATCATGAGCGATGTACATGGTTGAATGAAGCTTAAGGAGTTGCCAGATTCGACGGCAGCGAGAGCAGGTGGTACGTTCGCCGTCACATTTTGAGAAGTGGAGGAGGAGGTGTTGAAGTGGTTGGCAGGCGGCGGACGACGGGCAGTAGCTATTCCGGCTCTGATCGGGCTTAATGTCTGTGCAACCTTCTTTGAAGATGTGCTCAAGGCAGATCATTGTCTCACTAAGCTGCCGGTATATTTTATGCTCGTCCTTATTTTTTCTAATTTCCTTCTCCCTCTGCAGTAATATAAAAATAATAATTTTAATTATTTTATGTTCTTTTTGTTAATAATGAAAAATAAATTGTATTAGGTGTAACTTACAATATCTGAGTCGTGAAGAAATTGGAGAACTTGTAGCTCAAGCCAAGGATCGTTGTCCTGTACGAAATGCCACGCGTCGCTATTCTGTACGGTGTCAAAATCCTTCTCTATCAGCTTGAAGCAGCGGATGGCGAGCCAATCCGCATCGCACAGCCGCGCAAGCTTCAGCACGTCCACCACCGCTTCGGCGGTAAGCCAAGCCGCGAGCCACTTCTCGCACGCGCGCTTCAGCCACTTCACTTGATACACGTGCGACAGTACAAGCAGATGCATCCCGTGTCTTCTCATTATTCCCTCCCCTTCTTTGTCGCTGCGCCCATATTTTATGATTTTAATTTCTATTTATTAAAATACAACAAATTATCAACAAATGACAGAGCAAGAGCATTCTACTCTGAATTTACTTTAAAAAAAAAACTTATAAATTAATACGTAATATTTTATTATATTTAGTATTTTGACAATTTACTCCTTAAACTTTACCTTTTACATTTATACCCTTTAAATCTTTCATGTAACGGTAAAAATATCATCATTTTACTTTAAAAAATTAAGGTGCAACCCTTCATGATTAGATAAGGCGGCATGTTATAATCATGTAAAAACTGAACTTTTGTCATTAGATATGAAAATAATTCATATGAATTGAGTGGCATGTATGTAAATCTTCCTAAATATCATGAAATATTAAAGCTGAACAGACAAATAAAATGATCAATTCAGAAAAAATCAGAGAAACATGTGAGGAATTCGAACCTTCCCGCATGAAGCAGCCTGAGGAAAGCGTGAACAGCATCGTCAGGAACTCCGAGAATCCGAATCAGCTTCTCCGATTTCCCATCATTCTTCCCAGAATTCAGTTTTCTCTCCAGCACTGGCGACATCGAAGCCTGTTTAATTCAGTATAAAACTCTTAATAAAAATTCCTAAACCATAAATTTTGTTTTTTTTTCTTTTTAACAGAGGGGTTGATCGGTAAATAACCAGTATGTCCGAACAGGCAGGAATTCGCCGGCCGGCGGAGGTCAGTATGTTAGCGTTATTGCCTTCGCCGGAGAGCTCGTTTCCGGCGCCTGCCGCCTGCCGGACAACCTGAGCTCTCCGACCGAAGAGCTGAGTCATTGTTCTGATTAGATGACTCCTAATTCGGACTTCTGGTGCACTGATTGTGGGCTTTATGGCTATTTATAGAGAAGGATGGCTCTGTGTGGTTCAGGTGGAAGTAGGCAAAATAGTTTTTATGAAATTAAATATTTATTTTTATTTTGATGATGACGTGGAAAAAAAACAGCTGTTCGGGTATTTAATTTGATCAGAGTAAGACTCAAATATTACATGCGTCCAAAATCGCAACCTTAATCCTACCCTTATAACTCATTTAACAAAAGAAAAAACTGTTATTTGGGTTAAATTGGGTCAAGTATGGGGTCAATTTTAATCAAATTTGGGTCAATTCTGAGTTGACAGATCGATTTCAATGTCTGTCACTACTCTATTGGCCAACGTCTATTGCCACTTTCATCGTTGATGGTCATTGCCCGCAATAGCCACTCCCCGCCACCTTCAGCCGCCGAAGCTCATTCGCCGACCACGCCACCTCCACTGCCGATCGCGCTCGCCGTGGCCAGTCATGCAAACCACCTAATTAATTCTAACCACGCAAATTTGGTCTTACGTATGCAAAATCTCTATATATTTCTAACCACACATCAAATTATGATTCATTAATGTTATAATGCATGTAAACCCCTCAACTTTTTCTATCCACACAAATTTATTCCTATTTTGGTACCCAAATCTCTAACTATTTCCAACCACCCACTTAATTATGACTATGAGTATAATCAAATATTAAATACAAATAAAATAAATTTCTCTCTTAAATCAAGCGCTTAAAAATATCTCTCGTCATTTCAACAAAACTTCCGTCTGCCAATGACTCAAACACAACTATGTCACATCTCACTGGCCAGCATGTTCTTCAATCATTCAAGTTGCTGTATAATTTAAGCACAGCTGGGTAACCTAACGACCGTTAAGAGAAGATATTTTGAATTTCTTTTTTGTTTTTTATTAACAGCTAATGGGACTTATTAATCAATCAAATTTAATGAAGTTCATTGTACCAGAAATATATTCTTAGATTTTTTCAAGGGAAGAAAAATATCTTCCATTTTTATTAAAGATATTTCAATTCAATAGCTTTTAAGAGAAAAATAATATACTTCATGTTTTTTGTAGAAATAGTACGATTCGTATAAATTTTAATGATTAATTATGGTTTAAATTAATTTTCTTTGAAATAATTTATTTCTTCTCTTGATAAGCTAACAAAATTTTGATATTTTCTTGAATTCAAGGTCAATAAATAATCCACTTAAAATGCCAAATTATTGGGCAAAAATGAGCTGTATTAATAATTCTTTTTTTTATTATTATTATTTTCCGTAGTTGCTGACAACAACTATATATGTATTTACATATCTACCACCTAAATTATATATTTAGATTTTTAACGCAAGGTTGCCATAAGAATGTGCCACGTGTGCTGATCGCGAAAATATCTGCCTTTCTCAATAAAAATCCATGCTGTGGTGTCATTTCTTCCTTTGTCGTTAGTATTAATACAAATATATTGTTTGTATGTTTGTACATATATAGCTATGATAAAGATATATATACATATATATTGATATTAAATTTGTCTGTGAGATGCACGACTACGTTTCATTAAAATTTGTCTCCATACCGTATCATCCTTTTCAGGAGCATCTCAATTATTTTGATTTATATATTTTTTATTGTATTTATTTTGTCCTTTTATACGCTAGAAAATTGTCGCCTTTCCTCTTAATTTATTATAGGAAATTTACTTGCATACCACACAATTCCTTGGTCAAAATATCTAACACCCAAAGTTTGATATTTGTATTTATAACACTGGTGTCACAATATCGTGCTTGAGCATCTATTTCACTTTTATAATGATAGTGTTGGTGTGCATGAAAAATATGTCAGTGTTGATGATGAGGATATCTAACGGTCCATAAGAAATAGAGTACGACTAAGAAGGGTCAACCGATTGAAGACCAAGAGGACCACTTATCCGATCGGATAAAGCCCTCTAAGCAAAAGAAAGCAAGGCGGAAGTCATTTCAGGTGCGAAGATTGTTGAATCCTAGTTGTTCGGTTAGAAGCGAGACAAAGATATATCCGAGCCAACTTTATGAAGAAGCCGACTGAAGAGAAGATTTAGCCAATTGGAAACCTCAATCTTATCGCGGGTGCTCATGAGCTCTCTTATAAACTGTTAGAAGTCGAGAGCCAAACTAACTCAACCAACAAAGTAACTCATGTCAGCTTGAAGTCGGTCTATCTTAGTAGACCGATAATGCCGATTTAGCCTAGCCAAACAAGTCAATCATGTCGACCTGAATCTATATGCGCTCAGCCAAACGAGTCAAATAGAAACAAATTAATAGGAAAAAAAATGTAACATCAGCATATTGTACTCTCATTTCTATAAAAAGATAAATCATTTTATGAATAATACAAGATAAACATTACATACTATTATTCATTAATATTTTCTCCCCTCTCTGTCGCTCTCTCCTTTCTCATGCTATATTTCTTGGAGTGTGATTTACAAACAAATCAAAATTCAACCGTCAGTAATATTTTTTATGTTATGTTACAAATTTATGTAGTATGAATGTAAATATGAATGTTTAGATGTTGGATAAGTAAATAAATGAGAATTGTGTGGCAAGCATGTAACTGTCCCTGCATTTATGTGCTTCAATATTTGGCATGATGCATATATTCAACGTAGCATAGCTACAAAATACTTTAAAACACGACATCAATGTTTTCTTTTCAATAATTTTTTTTTTTTTTTGAGTATTTGAACCTTAGGGGCACTTATGATAGAGCTAAGGCATTAGTGTGTGTAGAGGTTTAAAAGAGCGTGCTCGTGTTCAATTTGTTAAAAAATATCATTATTCATGTTCGGTTCGCTTATATTTCGAACAAAAAAAGGTGTTAATATTCGGCTCGTTTGCTTAGCCAGCCTAACACTACTTGTTTGCATCGTTTTGACAACCCTAATCACGCATTCGTGAGATGTTAAGAGTTGGGGCGAGACTTAAATCTTATATATATATTT